ATAGAATTTAAGTCTACAAGTGACTCCAGTTCTTGGAAAAAGAAAGCACAATTGTGCTTTACCACTTTGGATCAATAGAAAATCATTTCAGAGCAAGAATACAACGTGTAGCAATGAAAGTAGATGGGAATGACATTGCTAACCACTTATTAGACAGCTTTCTGCACATGTTTTGGAGTTGTCTGGATGTGTGTGTTAAATAGAACATCATCTCTTTTTGTGCTTGTATTGGCTAATGCACAGATGGTTTGGAAATACTGTAGGACGTTTTTTGTTGAAGGAACACAAACTGTGATCATTACTCTGGAATTTGGATGCCAACTCATACGCCTGTTAGAGAGGGGTCACGAGGGATGGAGTAATTTGATAGATATTAAACACTCAGCTGATGACAAATCATGCAGCTGAACCTGGGTTGCCTCAGAGTTTCGGGGCTGCATCCTGCTGCCAAACCCAAAGCTGCTGGGTGCAACCCTCTGGATGCAACCAGGTTTGGTCCAGGGTGAAAGTGGTGCAGTGACCTTGTACTTGGACAATAGTTGCATGTTTTCCCACCAGTATGGTCTCTTGTTGGCCACGTTTTGGGTCGGAATTCATTGTCTGGGCCTTAGTCCAGCTTTAGTCTCCTAGCTGGAGAAAAGACCTTTCCCTCTTGGAGCACAAGGAAACCAGTGCAGGTCCTTATTTTGGTGCCCTGCAGGAGCTGGACATCCTTCAGGGTCAATCAAGGCCACCCTGAGCAGTTTGCATCCAGGTTATGCTTTGCCCTGGGGGATGTCAGGTTGAGTCCTGGCACCTCTGCACCTTTAGTTGCTCTCAGATGGTAAGGAGGCATCAGAGGTAAGGAGGCTCTGCCCGTGGGAGGTTTTCAAGTAGCCTTTCTCAGACAGGTCTTCATGTTGGTGAGCATGATCTCCAAGTCCAAGTTAGAGGCTGCTGATCAGGTAAATGCACATTGTGCTTTAGATATGATGGGCTTGGTCCTGCAGATCTGTCATCTAGGAGTGAGAGCCTGTCCCCTTTTTTCTGTGACATGATCAGGGGATCAGTCTGGTCATCAGCTAAGAGACAAAGCCCACATGGACACATTTCAAATGCTCTGGCCCCTCCTTGGTGGACAGCACTGGCATACCACGTGTTCCTCTTCCCCATCTCTCCCTGCAGGACCATGCTGATTTGAGAAACCACTTCTTCACTGTGGGGATGAAGCTGGAGGTGGTGAATATGAGGGAGCCTTTTCATATCTGTCCTGCATCAGTGACCAAGGTGAGCTCCCAGAAAGGAGGGTGAAAAGAGCCTGATTAGGAACCTCTTACTGGTTTATTTCTTACCGAGCCAGTTCTGGGCTCCCCAGTTCAAGGCAGACAGAGAACTGGTGGAGAGAGTCCAATGGAGGGCTGTGAGGATGATGAGAGGCCTGGAGCATCTCTGTGCTGAGGAGAGGCTGAGAGCCCTGGGGTGTTCAGCCTGGAGAAGAGAAGCCTCAGAGGGGATCTGATCAATGCTTATAGATATCTGGAGGGTGGGTATCAAGAGGATGGAGCCAGACTCTTGTCAGTGGTGCCCAGTGATGGCACAAGGGGCAATGGGCACAAACTGGAACCCAGGAAGTTCCACCTCCACATCAGGAAACACTTCTTGCCTTTAAGGGTGACAGAGCAGGCTGCCCAGAGAGGTTGTGGAGTCTCCTCTGGAGACTTTCAAAACCTGCCAGGACAGGTTCCTGTGTAACTTGCCCTAGATGAACTTGCTTTGGGAGAGGGGTTGGATGAGTTGATCTCCAGAGGTCACTTCCAGCCCTGACCATTCTGTGATTCTGTGACTTCCAGTACATTTAGGAAAGCTCAGGAGTTATACTTAGTTGGCTGGAGAACACATGAAGAAATGATTTTAAAATCCATGGACATTGCTAATTGATTTATTTCCCACAAGCTTCACCAGCTGATTCTATGCACTTAGATCCAGGGCGGATGAGCATGTCCATCCACAACTTCCACCCAAAAAAAGGGATCCCAGTGGTCTCCCTGTCTCCCCTCCATGCATATCTATTTTCCCTGCACATGTGGGAGACCTTTGGAAGTGTGAACAGCTGGATGGAGGTGGTAGCTGGGTGGTTAATCCACGCTCTGAAAAACAAGTGAGGGGAAGGCTGTGGGGTCCATCTCTAAACCTCAAGCTTTGATTTCTTCAGTGGAGACATTTGCTGAAAAGCATGAGGTGAGAGTGGATTATTTTCAGGAGTAGTTTGATTCCACAGTCTGGCTCTTGCATCTTTCCACGTTACCTAATGGTACAGCAAACGTAACCTCTGATTTTCTTTTCTTCTTTTTCACCCCTTAGGTTTTTAACAATCATTATTTACAAGTGACCATTGATGACTTGAGACCTGAACCCAGCAAAATCTCCATGCTTTGCCATGCAGATTCCTTAGGGATCTTGCCAATACAGTGGTGCCTTAAAAACGGAGTGGATCTCACACCTCCCAAGGGTTTGTATTCCTTCTTGGTCATTTGCAGATTTCCTCTGAAAGACATTTACTGCTTACTGTTGCTTTTAAAACCATGATTCTGTTCACTGCAGAGCATCACCCTGAAGCCAGAGGAGCTCTCTTGAGTCACTGAGGCTGTTCTGGCTCATACCAGCCTGTTAACATCTCTGCAGATTGATGTCTGTGGGCTTTGTAGAGTGAAGCAGGCTGTGCTGAAGCCTAGAGAATTCCTGTGAAATGCATCTTGGTGATGCTTTGTGTATGCAGAGAGCAAAAGGAGCATTAGGGGTCACATCATCCTAGAGGCAAACCAAGCATCTCCCTGCAGCATCCACCCTGTGAGCCAAGCAGAGCTCCTAAACCTAAATATCTAAACTAAACCCCCAGCTGCCTGCCCAGGAGCATGTAGGCATTTCTTTAAATGTCTCAGAAGTTCCCAGGCAAGGGCAAACTGGGAGCAGTGCTCAGGTCAGAGCCAGGAGAAGCAGTTTCCAGATGAGCTGTATTACTCGTGATCTCAGACAGCTACCTGCAGTGCCTCAGCAATATTTCTTCCCTTCCAAAATGTGTTGGTTCTCTGGAATTTCAGAGTTTTGAAGCTGGCTGGGTCATTGACCCTTTGCCAAAAACTGCTTGGGAGAAAAAGAAAAAAGAAAATAAAAAAGAAAAAAATAATCCCACTAAGTTTTGTGCGTGCGGATTTATCTTAATCCCTGTGTAAGTCCTCACTGATATTGGCCAGAAAAGTTGCTAAAATGAAAATAAATGCAATGTTTTGGTTTTTTCCACCCCAAATTGACATGCAGCTTCCTCCAGGCCTGCTAATTAACTGAAGTAGACGATAGGCCAGACATTTCTCTTTACAGGGTCATGGCCTAATAATCTCCAGTCCGTGCTGGTACAAAGCCTGTCTGAGGTGGTGTTTTATGGGTCAGATGCATGCAAGCTCTCTTCTAGATGCCAGCAATTTTAGAAGTGGCTGAAGCATCCGTCAGATGAGTATTTCTCAAGTTGGCCAGTAAAGCCTGAGTGGCAAGTGGATATCTGGTGGGATGCCTGGTGGCTGGGGTCCACCTGAGCTCCTGAGAAAGTGTGGGACGTCTCTCCCCTCATTCCCTTCATGAAAATGAAGTTTGCTTTCTGCTGTCAGATCAGAAATCCTGGAGGGAAGCTATGAAAAGGGCATAAAGCAAGTGGCAGGTAGATGCACACTATATATTGCTGTATTTCTTATACTGAGGGCTGCAAGCCCAAACTGCATCTAAGCACCTTTGGTGTCAAAAACCTTTTCTGTTGTCCAGACACACTCTTTGAGTCACTAGCATATAATCAGATATTAGAGTGACTGCTGTTAAAACAACCCAGCAAAACTCCACAAACCACCAAAAAAGAAGACAGGGAAAGTATAAAGCATCCAAACCTGGACTGAGGGAACCAGTCTTTTCTGAGGAGGTAGATGCCAGCTTTGGATGAAGAAATAACCAAGACTCTGAAGAGAGAGGTGCAGTGCTGCAAAAGGGAGGAAGACTGTGCTGCTAATGAGCAGAAGGAGAAAGAAGTCCAGCACTTGTGCATTCTCTGTGACCATCACCCTTAACAGAATGTGTTCACAGGATTTAGTGTTCCCCAGATGACTCTCCTTGTTGAAAGGCCACAAGTTCCTGTGGAGCAGAAGACAACAACAGAAGAAGTCCTTTTTCCTTTTGTGAAAGGATTCTTTGCTGTATTCCAGGCTTGGTTTTGGTTTTTTTTTTGGTTAATTTATGGTTGACAAGGAGGTTTTCTGATCTTATTTCATCAGAACAGTGTGCCAGGTTGGGGTATTTGGACTGAGAGTCCTTTATTTGCCTGATAGCCATTCTCTTGCCTTTTTGCCTGTCAGACCTTTGTTGAAGCCAAACACAGAGTAAATGAGTCATGAACAGGAGGTGCAAACATTTGCTGCTAGAAATAGAGAGCAGCATTTTCCTGTACAGTGCCAAAAATGAATCCCCATTCACTGCTGCTGTGTAAACATTGAACAAGAAGCTGTTGATATTTGTTAGGGCTGGATTTATACACCACTTCCCTTTAGAGTAAAAACCATTGTTCCTTTTTATGAGCTGTTAAGAGGGAAAAAAACCCATTTCCATAGGGCTCCTAGTTGTAAGGCTTACTAAGGAAATGCCACTTCCAAGCCCTCCAGTATACTTGTATTGTTGTATTTGGTTGTGATTAGACTGCTGGGCTCTTCCATGCTGAGAGCTGAGGTGGCAAACACAATGAGGTTTTACATGTTTGAGGAGCAGCAGTTGCATCATGCAGGCAAAGCTTTGTACATTATCACTTGGGCTGAGCCTTAAAGGGTAAGAACAAGTGAATTCCATGTGGTAATGGAAGTAGTGGGTACATGGCACCTCCCTGTGTGCTCAGGGAGGTTGCTTCTACCATGATGCTCCTGGAAAAGGCCATAGACAGGGCCAGGCTTGTTAGAAGCCAATTCCTGAATGTGCTCCTCATGGACTCATCCTTGCTGGGCTGCTGAAGGGAGTTATGGCAAACTCTCTAACTGCCCTCCCAGGTTCCATTTCTGTTGAAGTCTACAGCAGAAGGTCTTCCAGTGATCTTCTAGATCTGCCTGTTTCTCTGTTGACTCTTCAGGGACAGGCACAGCTATCGGTGTCTCTGCTGCAGACATCTGTATGCAGTGAGATGAATCCCCTTCTGATGTGATGTACACTTCTCCTCCTGTTTTCCATTCCATTTCAGGAAGCTGAAAAGTATCTGGCAAACAAATAAGGAGAGAAGAAAGGAGGTGGAGAAAAAGCAGGCAGAAAATACTGTTGCAGAAATTGATTATTGAAAAAACAGCGGAAGGATATTTTTGTTTGCATGAAAAATGATCATTCTCTGTAATTAATTGCCCTTTTTTACTTCACTGTGCATGTTTCTTTCTAGCTTTCCAATTATTATGCACTTTTATACCCCACAGTGACAGGCATCTTGGCTCAGGACTTTATCTCATTAATTTATTTGTCATGTATGCAATCATTAGGATTAGAACTACATCTTATCCCAGATTCTTGCATTTTAGTAGGATGCTTGGGACTTTAAAATTTTTACCTCCTTTTTTGAATCTTGGCCTTCTTGAGGTCTTGAATCTCATTAGTTTCAAGCACTGTAAAAATACAGACTAAAGTAAAAACAATACAAAATCAGAAAGCAAAATAAAGCCCAAGCTCTCTGTTCCAAGAGTTTATTGCCTAAGTAGCCAGGTAAGAAGAAGGGATGAGTAGAGATCTGTTTTTTCTCTCTGTGATGGGACTGTCTGAGACATGCTGATATAAATCAGTTACTTCCCTTTTTTTTTCCTGGAAGCAGAGGCTGAAGGGATCATCTGGTTGCTGAGATTTTAGTCTGGGAGCTGGGAAAATCAGTGTTCATTTTCCTGCTCTGCTCCAGATCTCTCTACAGCCTTGGATAACCTGCTTACTGTGGTGGGATTCAGCCCACGTGTGCTGAGCTGCTGCAAAGTCAGTCATGGAGGGTGGAATCATAGAGTCACAGAATCACTACGGTTGGAAAGGACCTCTAGGATGTGGCACATCCATGTCAAGGAAGAGAGAGGCAGATTTCTCTCATGCTTTAGGAGGATGGATCAGCTTCTGATTGTGCTGGTCCTCTCCCTAGCCACTGCTGAGGGACCCTTGATGTCCAAATGCTTTTAGATAAGTAAAGGAAGGAAAAAGAAGTCCATGACCAACTTGGAAATTGTGGAGAGCAGCACTTCTTGGAAGTTAGGGGTTTATGAAAGCCTGGGAGATGCTCACAGGAAAGGGAAAAATGAGGGAAATAAGTTTGTTACTTTTTAATGAAGGCCTGGAGCTTTCAAAGTGAAATGCAGAAGGTGTGTGATTGGGAGCTGGAGAAGCATTGGCATTGGCTCCCATGGTGTAGAGGCATCCAGAGGACTTGCCTATTGATGCTGGACAGTCACTGAGGTGGGGTGGGATGCTGGAACACAAATGCTCATCTGCTTGGGGCCCATTTTGTGCTCCCTCCTTGGTCTGGAGCCATGGCTGATGGCACTTTCTGCTCTGTCATCGTGCAGGTTACTCTGGCCAGGACTTTGACTGGGCAGACTACCAGAAGCAGTGTGGAGCAGAGGCAGCTCCTCACCTCTGCTTTAGAAACGTAAGTTCTCTCTTTGCCTTTTGTGTCTCTCCTGTGGATCCACGTGAAACAAAGCAGCTTACCCAGAAAAACTGAAGCAAGGCTTTGGAAGGTTCCCCCAAACAAAGATGAGTCTACTTTGAGCAGGAGGCTGGAGAAGTGTTTCAGGTCTCCATCCCTGAAAGAGAAAAAAATGTTATCTTACTCTTCTCTATTTGGTTTGTTTAGTTTTCCTGCTCTTCATCTCCTCTCTGGTTTTGTGCAGCACCTAGCACAAGAAGGTTCTTAACTGACCATTACAAATAATTCAGGTGCTATTAAAAATAATAAACTAGGTAAAAAAATTGCATGATATCATATGGCCCCTTTCACGTTTTATGCTTCCGAGGGGGTTACATTTAACCCAACCAAATGTGTTTAAAAGCTGAGGTTGAAACCATTGAACTCAGAATAGAAGAGTGATTAACTGGCATGGATGCTCTGCATGATAACATATGGCCCCTTTCACATTTTATGCTTCCCAGGGGGTTACATTTAACCCAGCCAAACGTGTTTAAAAGCTGAGGTTGAAACTGTTGAGCTCAGAATGGAAGAGTGATTAACTGGCATGGATGCTCTGGTCTTTGGGACAATTCCTTGATACAGGAATCCCCTCCCTTTTCTTTGTATCTTTCCTTGGTAGAACCTGTATTGAGAGCACATCCTCCACCTAGTGCAGCCAGACGTGGTGCTGGAAGTGGAGATGCTGAAACTCTTTCCTCAGGGGGATATTTAACAAGGAAAGGCAGTTATGAATTGGGTTGACATGACCAAATGCTCAGTAAAATAAACCCCCAGCTCACTGTTTGGGCACTGATTGTGTATAAATTAGCCTCCAGCACCGAATTGCAATGAAAGGAACTGGTGAGATGATCAACGACGTTTCCTTGTTAGGCAACATAAAAACATTTCAATAAAGTCACTTTGCTTTTCTGCTGTCCTGGCCATTGGCAGCTTCTACAGGGTGAGGCTGATCAGTGTGCTGGGCAAAGCTTGTGACAGTCCAAGCAGTGTTTGAGGCTAGCAGCCCTTTCTCAGAAGGCCTTTTGGTGCAAAAAAAGAGCAAATCCAGAAGTTTTTAGTTTGGTTTGTAGCTCACAAAGAGCTCTCAGTGATTCTTCAAGGGGAAGTGCCCATGGTGCTGTGCAAATAGGAAGGTTGAATTTGAGTCTGGCTTTCAGTTGCTGGATGAGAGATTGGTGTCACTTCAAATCAGTGAGTTATTACCCATCCTAGTTATTATTAGCCAATAGGACACTGGAGGGGACAGAGGATGAGGATGGAAGTAGTTGAAGAGCACCTTGAGGCTTGGCTTGGGGGAAGGTTTAGGAGAGGGTTTAGGGTCTAACTAAATGCATGAAGAAGTTTCTCTGGTCTCAGGCAAGATGGGTCATTTGCTCTACAAGGTTCCCCCTAGCAAGGTGAGAGATCCTCAAATGCAGCAGATCTGTGAACCCTCTGTGTAGTAAGTTGTCACCAGCAGTGGCCAGAAAACACATCACTAGCAAGAATTCAATTATATTTGGAGCTGGTGTGGAGCAGACTCCTCCCAGTCTCTGAGAGTTAAGGAGTGAGTAGACCATGAAATACATTGCTTCCTGATTTGGTGTCATCATTGTTTTCTCACATGGGTGTCCAGGGCAGCTCCATTTGAATCTGGACACTTTTGTGCTCCTCAGTGTACCCTGCACTTCAGCGAAAAGCAAACCACGCTAAATTTGTGCTTCTCAGTGGAGAGCCTAATTAAAGTCATGCAGTGCTGTAGTGCTGTGCTTCAGTGCTGGTCCTTGGCTCTTTCAGACATCCTTCAGCCGTGGCTTTACCAAGAACATGAAGCTGGAGGCAGTAAACCCCAGGAACCCTGCAGAGATATGTGTCGCTTCTGTCACCTCGGTGAAAGGACGGTTGATGTGGCTTCACCTTGAAGGTATGTGCTGTAAGGGCTTCATGTCTTTGTGTCCCTCACTCAGAAGCTCTCTTAATTTTGTCCTTCATTCTCTGCCCAATACTGCTTCCTGCAGCCTTTCCTTTTTATACACATAAACCAGTAATAAGTTACTCAGAGTTGTCTTCCCCTGATGATGGATGTTTGCCTCACTTGGGCAGCTGAGACTTCCACTGTGATTTCCAGCAAGCTCTCACAGGATCTCCTGTCCACCTGCAACCCTTCCCTTTCCCCCTTCCCCTTTCCTCTTTCCCCTTCCTCCTTTCCCCTTCCTCCTTTCCCCTTCCTCCTTTCCCCTTCCTCCTTTCCCCTTCCTCCTTTCCCCTTCCTCCTTTCCCCTTCCTCCTTTCCCCTTCCTCCTTTCCCCTTCCTCCTTTCCCCTTCCTCCTTTCCCCTTCCCCCTTTCCCCTTCCCCGTTTTCCCCTTTTCCCCTTTTCCCCTTTCCCTTTTTCCCTTTCTCCTTTCTCCCCTTTTCCCTGTCCCTTTTCCCTTTTCCCTTTCCCTTTCCCCCTTCCCCCTTTCCTCTTTCCCCCTTCCATATTCCCCCTTCCCCCTTTTCCTTTCCCCTTCTCTTTCCATTCCCTTTTTTTTTTACCTAGGTCCATAAAACCTGCAATATTTGCTGCTCCTCACCCTGACCTCACATGACCACAACCCTCATCTATCTGAGTGTATTTGTTAATTTAAGAGCGCTCTTGCAGGCAGTAACTCTATAATACAGATTTTTGGGAGCCATCACCCGCCTCACATGACCACAACCCTCATCTCTCTGAGTGTATTTCTTAATTTAAGAGGGCTCTTGCAGGCAGTAACTCTGTAATACAGATTTTTGGGAGCCATCACCCCATGGAGAACACCACCAACTGTACAAGCAGTATTAGGAGAGTGCTGAAAAAAACCAGCAGAGCATAATATCATATCAAACTTTCCATTTCAGCCTTGAAATGAGGTGTAGTTGAGCTCATTTGTAGTGTGCTTTTGCTCTTGGGACTTTTTTTTCTCCATGTGTCTGGGCAAGGACTTCTTAAGTAAGTGTAATTTAGAACAACACAAAGATTCTTCTTGGTATTGCTTTAAAAAACAGTGTTATTTGTAAAGTCACTGAGAGCAGAAAGTCACTCTCATTTAAGTTGTTGTGTCATGCATCACTGTCACAACATAGCTAATTTTTAGCCATCAAGGTAACATGCTGTTGTTTGAAGCTCCTGGCTTCATCTATAATGAATAGCAGAGCTTCAGTTTCCTTCTGAAATCAATAATAATTGGGTCAGTATCAACTGCAAATGGAATATACCACTTTGCTTTTTTTTTTGTCTGGAGAACCATGAAAATATCAAAGGCACTTCTGGTGGCTCATAGTCCTGCTCATCATCGACCTCTGTAAGAGCTGTGCTGCTGCCTTTTGATGACTGTGTGAGGCAGAATGTCATCCTTTGTGCTGCCAGACCTGACACAGCCAAAAATCAGCATCTTGCTGGAGCCATCCCATTTGCAAAATGAAATGCCTTCAGTGAAGGTAGTGTGATGGTTCAGGGGGATGATGATTCCTCCGTGCCTCTGACCTCCACTGGTCCATAGGGTCAGTATGGTGGCTCTTGAGTAATCCTCCTGAAGTACATTGAAGCTGGGCTGCTGTCAAGATTGTTCCTGCAAAAGCAGTATGGCCCCTCAGAGATCAGTGTGAGTTTATTTTGGCATTTCCAGTGTGAAACAGATAGGAAAGGGTTAATGGGAGAGAAAGCCATAGTCAAGTACATGATTTCCAGAAGGGACAGGGGGACAGGGTTCCTAACAAGAGTTTCTTGCAGAGAGCTGCTGTCCAGATTGTTCCTGCAAAAGCAGTATGGCTTTTGAACAGAGATCAGTGTGAGTTTATTTTGGCATTTCCAGGGTGAAACAGCTAGGAAAGGGTTAATGGGAGAGCAAGCCATAGTCAAGTACATGATTTCCAGAAGGGACAGGGGGACAGGGTTCCTAACAAGAGTTTCTTGCAGAGATCCCCTGTGAGATGAGGTCTGAAGCCTGATTTGCACAAAAATTAACCTTCCCTCCTCTGCAAGATCACAGAATCACAGAATATTAGGGGTTGGAAGTGAGCTCTGGAGATCACCTGGTCCCACCCCCCTGCCAAAGCAGGTTCATCCAGAGCAGGAATACATCCAGGAGGGTTTTGAAAGTCTCCAGAGAAGGAGACTCCACAACCTCTCTGGCCAGCCTGCTCCAGGGCTCTGTCACCCTCACAGGAAAAAAGCTTTTCCTTGTGTTGAGCTGGAAAAGCTGCTTAGCTCTTTGTATTTTGGGACTGGAAGACAGTGGAAGCAAGATTGATGCTAACTGTATTGCTTCATCATGTCATCAGGGTTGGACTTGATGATCCTAGAGGTCCTTTCCAACCGTAGTGGTTCTATGATCATCACTTGGCACATCACCTTCAGCATCATGCTCCATTGATTCTAATGACCCAGGAAGCATTTGGCACGTGACAATGTGCAGTGCAGTTGGTACAAGATGAAGGGTCTCTAATCAAAGCCTTTAAAGTCAGTAAAAACATTGTCAGGTAACCCAAAGTACCTCATCTGTGCTAGCAGGTTCCTCTAAAATCTAAGAAAGGCAGATTTTCTGTGGTGTTTAGCTCTCCAAAAGTAGCATTATATGGTAGATGAGACTTTCCTGATGCCTTCCTAATAAATCCCATTCTCAGAGGTTTATAACTCAGTTGCTACCCGAGGAGAGATTCCTCCTGACCTAAAGCTTGGCAGGCCAAAGCATTTGTGCTTCTCGTGTCTTTGCTGCTGAGCCTCATGGTTTGGGCTGTCTGAGATCTGGGGAGAGCAGAGCTGGAGACGTGTGCCCAAATGCAGCAGAGGAGCAACCTAGTGGGAGGTGTCCCTGCCCATGCCAAGGGGGCTGGAACTAGATGTCTTTAAGGTCCTTTCCAACCCAGACCATGCTGTGACTCTGTGTAGGAGAGTTGAGTTGTCATAATTCTCCATCCCTGGCATGGAACTCTCAGCCCAGGGAGTTTGTCTCCTCTGATTGCCTCCAGTGCACAGAACAGGCATGACTTTGGTTTTGGCAGAGCTGGGTGCAGTGGGGAGGTTTGGTGTTTTCATCTTGGACAACTGGTTGCCAGAAGACTTGAGGTAGCTGAAGCTCATCTGCAGCCTCATCTGGACACGGGGCAGATATTTTTGGTAATGAGCTAGAACCCATGCTCATGTGAAAATCAGGTCTCATTAAGGCTGTTGTTGAATTTACACACATTTGATCAAGGAATCTGGCCCATTTTGGCAACTCCCCTACTTAAGTGGCCAGGTGCTTTCACTTCTAGATGCAGATTTAATGAAGTTTGGGAATCCTTCTCTTTTTTGTCCCCTTAGCTGTGATACTTTCAAATGGACACAGTGTTCACTAAACTTTAATCCATTATAGTGAGTAGGAAGTGCTGTTTTTAGAGTCTTTAAAAGTCAACCAGTCCTCCAAGACCATGGATAGAGGCAGGGAGAGGGTCACACACTCCCACCTTACTCCTTTCCCTCATCTTTTTCTCCCTTTCCCTCTTGTAATGTCTTAAAGGATGTTTTTTACAGCTTGTCATATAAAGCTTCCTGGGTGCATCGTTTGAGTTCTGATGTATAGATGCTTTACACTTGTTTTATATCTCAATACCAGGGATAGAACGATGTGTAGTAAAAGGAAAAGATGCAAAAGACTGCAAAAATAAAAAGGAATCTTTGTTGCTGTTGAGACACATGACTACAGTATGCACAGTGTTACACTAAAACTAGGCATTAAAAAAAACAACACAAAAAGCTGCTTGCAGAGTTGTAAAATAAATGTGGCTTGAACTGTGGGTTGTTTTTTTTAAAAAAACTCCATTAATTCACTATTGTTTCTCCCTGATTATTTATATTCTGGTAGCAGCAAGACTCCCCAGCTACCACGGGAGCCCATGGCTGAAGACCTCGGGTCCCACCATTCATCATGGGCACGTCTGAAGCTTTCATTGTTGCCCTTCCAGTTTCGCTGTTTGACAGCCCAAACTGCAGCCATAAACCAGGAGGCAGTAGTTAAGCAGCATCCAGTCAGACGTGAGGGAACACTGCTTAATAAATCACACTTTGTACAGTAGCAAAACTCTGTAAACTTTGGGGCGAGCGTGTAACGAGCAGCAGGATGGTTCCCCCGTGGTGGAACAGCAGCGTAGGGTTGATCAGATGCTGTGAGCATCCCATCACTTTCTGCTACTTTATTACTCATCATCTGCATTGTTAATTTTTACTGGTTCCTTTTAGATTTTACAGCTGAAGCTTTCTGGTGTGAATTTATACAAGTAATAACGTACACGCTCTGCACAGCTTAGGAATTTGAGGAGAAGCCTTTTGTTCATCACTTCTCCAAGGAGGTTTTCCATAATTTTCCCTCTGAGAGTTTCCTGGAATTACTGCTCTATTCTGCCTATCCTACAAGATTCATAGGAGATGTCAGGTTTCCTCACCCTGTTTCAAATCTCCTTCTCATCTTCTCCATTTAACCTCTCAAGTCCCATGGACTCTTCGTAGTCTGAGAGGATGGCAGCATAAAATGCAACAAATGAAACTAATGAGTCTCCAACAAGATGTTTTCCACTTATATGAGGCCAAACAAAGCAGTAGGATGTCAGAAGTGGAAGGCAGGGTTATCAGCTGCCAGAAGGAAGGAGCAGAGCCCAGGAGGACAGAGTAGCTGTGGATGTACCTTGCAAGAGGAACAGACTTTATGGTGCATCCTTGCTTGTCAAGGTGACTGCAACTGCAGTCTTTAGAAATAAAATTTTCCTGTCACATCCGTTACTGTTTGCAAGCAGGAAAGTGCCTTTGATCTGTTTATTGGGTTAGAATAACACCACAGAAGAGCTGCAGTAATGAAAACAGTGGATTTTCCCAGATCTGGTGGAATTCCAGTGGGGATTGTGTTGATCTCTTGCCCCCTTTAGGGCTCACTTCGTGTATCTCTTGCCACTGACTTCAGCAGTTCTCACGGCAGTTCCTTGGCTGGATTTGTGGTGTTAGGTGAAGATGATTTGCCCACTGGAGACTGAGCTTTCATCAGGTTCAAACTGAGCAGTGACGTCTTGGTATTTCCTCATGAAAGGAAATAGTTCTGCCAGCAGCTCAGACCTTGCATTGAGACTCAGCTGCTCATACGAGCAGGTTGTGTCCTTTATCGAGTGCCTTCATTCCATCCTCTTCCTTTCCCCATAAACCAGTGAAACTGAGACTGTGTCTTCAGTGTGTGATCTGTGAACACGATGCAGGGCTCAGAGGAATACCATGAAGACGTTCATAAATCTATGCAGACATCATGATTTCATTTTTAACATTATTCCCTCCAGCAGCGTGAGCCCCAGCACCTATTTTCCTGCTTCCTTTGGGTTTTCATACAGCCACACAGAGTGCAGCAAGTTTATTGCTAGAGACAAGATTGATCCAAATGCTGCATCTCAGCCTTGGTGCCGTTCCCATCACAAAGTTCAATTACTGTTTCAATTACACTGCAAGCCCTTGATGAGCATTCATTAGTGGGAAGTTCCCTGTAGTCATCTAGCTGTGCACAGTCAAACACTGCTGCATGAAGCAGGAGGCAAAGATGCCCTAACAGATGCAAAGGCAAAGATGCTGCAGGGGAAGCTGCTGATCCTTCGGTTTCTCATTAAGAGATCATCTCATGCTGGTGCTGGAGCTGTGGAGATGGTTATCCAGGCTATCCTGGTTGGAAATGGCAGAGGGCACAGCCTGGCCAGCAGCTTCATTCCCAACACAGATGGACTTGGAGTCATTAAATAGCATCTTGATTCAGGACCCAGAGTTATTTTCAAAAGAACACAAAGCCAGTGAGAATATTCGCTGCATCAGGCTTTGAGTGTGACCCCTTAAAACAAAGAGTATCTTATGAAAGAGACATAATAACCAACACTGGAGAAGATTGGCTTTAAGCAGAGATTTTCAGTGAGGTTTTGGAGTCGGTTTTATGCCCAAGGTCTTAGTGCATCTGTCCCCCATGGGGTTTTTAAGCTGCCTCTCCCCTGTTGGGTGATCAGCTCATGTTTCATGTGCAGTGAGAAGCCCTGCAGGAATTCATGCCACCTCTAGATGGAAGAGCAGACATTTCCCACCCTTAAAAACTGGCTTAAAAGCAGAACTACACACAAAAACACCCTTTAGGGGGGCACTGAGGCATAAAGGCTTATCCCATTAGCTGACATCCTGTTAAAAGCCCATATACACTCTCTTACCATCGAGAGCAAGCACCCAACAAGTTCTGCTGCCTTGCTTATGCAACTCTACAAAAATCCAGGGTTGGTTAGGCCATCTGGTTGGGGAAAGTCATGCATGTTTAACCTTCCTGGCTTACCCTTAGAGTGCTCTTCATGGGGGTTTTCTCTGGAATCACACTGCTCTCTAAATGCAACAGCCTTATTGCTGTCTGTGCAAAACTGAAGCTGAAATGATGCCTGATTTGGATGCAGGGAAGCAGATTTATTTCTACATGTTCCATCATTTGCTTCCCTTGGTTCATGATGAATGCTCGATTGGCTCCGAGCTTGGTATTCCCGTGTCTAAATTCTGTTACAAATTTGTGTTTCTAGGTTTACAGATGCCTTCTCCAGAGTACATAGTTGATGTAGAGTCTATGGACATTTTCCCCGTGGGCTGGTGTGAAGCGAATGCTTATAACCTAACTCCACCACACAAAGCTGTCTGTAAGTACATGGAAAACTCAAGCAGTGTAGATATTACATCAACAGATTTATCAGGGAGCTTCTCTTATGTCTCTAACCCAAGTTTTGAAGCTACCAAAGAGGCTGGTAAGCAGGCTGGAAGTGTACTGTAATAAACAGTAATCAATCTAATTAGTGACAAGACTTCTCAGCAGTGGCATTATGCAATTTAGACCTGTCTGTGTGTGATCAGAACCTCTGGAAATGGGAATTTGTCCTAGGAAGGATTTGTTACATGGTTTGGGATTGCCCAGGGTGGGTTGTGGGTTTGCACTGGGGACGTGGGAGTGAGACCAAGTTTCGTTGCGCTGAGCCAAGTTCACTTGGGCTGCTGAGTGACTTAGAGACACAGGACCTCAAATTGGATAAAAACACATCAAATACAGTGTGGAATGGATGTACAGAGGTGCTCCCTCTGCCCCTCTCTCAAAACTTAGATTTCTCCATCTAAATTGAGCTGTGTCTGCTGGCCTCCTGGGATGGAGTTTCTGCCCCTTTCCAGGGTATCTGTCCCCTTATTCCACTGCCCTTGCCAGGGCAGAGATTTCCCTAGTGTTTAATTTAAATCTCTCCTAGCTCCATTAAGCCTGTAGCGTTTTGTCCTGCCTCTAGTGCATATTAAGACCAATTTCTTTCCTTTCTATTTGCTTTAGAAGGCAATTCATGAGCACTCTGTAGCTTGGTACTGGTCTCCTTCTCCTCACAGAAACCACCCCACCCCAATCTCAAGCCACCAGCTGAAAAATCTGGCCTCATTGTTTGTATTCATTAACATCTGAAAGACAAATTTTATATAACGTGTCAACCCTTTTGAAGAGTTAAATATGCTTAAGTTAAAAACCACGCAGACGTGGCCTAATTTGTGAGAGTACTGCTATGGCAACATTCTGCAGCTTTATTGCAATTTATAGCTGGGGATAAATTATGCTGGAGGTAATCATGCTTGTAAAATGTAATCTTATCCATATGTCTTTCTGTGTGGAAAAATATTTGTATTTTTATTTTCTATTTTTATACCGGTCCCATAAAAGATGATATTTGCATTCCAGAGGAAAGATTAAATGTATTATTACATCTTTAAAGGAGGTTTTAATGATGGAGGGACTTACTTAAAAAAACACCCAGAAAAGATGCCGATAGTAATTAAGTGCCACTTCATTGTATGGGAAGGCATTTTATAGTCAGTGCATTTAAACAGCTTTTTTAGGCATTATGGGTATACTTTATAGGACAGAAGAGTACAAAACTGTTTTTTTCCTTCCTTGCTTCATTTTTGCAGTGCGAAGGAAGAGAAGAATTGCAGTTGTGCAGCCAGAAAAGCAGTAAGTTGTTGTTGCTGAAGGTGATATTTTCAGAGGGATGCCTCAGATCTTCTTCTAGCAGCTGAGTGGCTTTGCTGACTGCTGCCCAACAGCAGGATTCTTTTTAATCTGAAACATTTGTGAGCATATTAGACAACATTTGTAAGAGAATTTTTTTTACTGGTTGGGACTGCAGCCCAACCAGTTGGGTTTGTTTAAAATGCAACTGCTGGGATTTTTTTACTGGTCTGGTGGCCAGGATGGGATGGTTATGGAAGATTGACGTGTCCCAGGAGGGCCTTGAAGTTCCTAGAAAGTGGAATTTAAGTGTGAATATTTGGATCCTGAAGGGCTAAAGCTCACAAAAAAAAGAGTGTATTTTTGGAGGAGGGGTGGGTCTGAAACTCCTTCTGGAGTATGCTGGCCCTGGGCTGTGTCAGACCATGTGGAAGAGGGATTGTGTTTGAGGTGTCTCCACTCCTTGGTCCAGGCAGGTGCTGGTGTATCTCTCAGTCCAGCCTGAAGGCTGGTCCTGCCCCTTTGACCTGTCTGACAGTATTAATTACACTGAATTGCTGTTTAACAGGTTACCATCCACAGTGCCTGTAGAGAAAATACCTCATGACCTCTGCCCAGTTCCTCAGCCAGACACAACAGGTAAGGCTGCTTGGCACCAGCAGAAGCCTTGTTCCAAGGACCTGTTGCCTGTGTAGAGGGAGATGACCCCAAAAAGAGAGTAGGTCATGGGGGTGGGGAGATGGAACTACATCCTGAGGGGGTGTGAGGTGCTGTGGACCCACCAACAAGGAGGCTCTGGTGTGGAGGTCTGGTCCTCTGCATGGGGCTATCAGAGTTCCCCTGCAGCTTGCCCATTCCAGCTCATGATGTCAGGGCCAGGCTAATGAAGCCCTGACGAACATGGATGTGACTTTTTAATTGGCATCAGTGAAATTGCTGGCACTGGGACTTGATGGATGGCTGTGTTGGCATCAAGACTGTGTGGCATGGAAGCTGCTTCTGCTAAAGGCAATTTTTTTCTCCCTTTTAGCAATAGCAGGAGGCTCCAGTAGTACAACAGCTATCCAGTTAATTATGTTGATTCAGCAATAACTAATTTTATTTCATCAGACTGTAGGACACACAGTAGCATCTGAGCCAACATCCCAGGGCCCCATTAAAACCAACTGGGGAATATCAGAGGCTTTTTGGGTATGATGAGCAAAAAGTGGATAAGTACAGGGGTGCCACATAAACCCCATCTAGAAGTGCCCACTTCTCTCCAGGGGCTATAAATGAGCCCAGAGTAATTAACTCAGACAAAGAAAAACTGCTCTGTAGACCCATGCTGGGTCAGGGGAGGAGCACTGCAGGGCTTGCTGGGTTGAAGTGGGATTTCTAGAGCTCTCCAACTCAATTTTCTCCCTGAGATGATTCCATGTCCATGGGAGGCAGCTGATACATTCCCTTTCTGGCCACTTGCAACTGAGTCACTCATGTCCATCTGCAGCATGAGTTATGAAAGAGCTTCAGGTTATGATGTGAATGAAATCCTTTCCCAATTCTCCTTTTGGTAGCACATGCAGCCAAATCAGTTGCTGTTAAAACATTTGCTTTTCCTGTGTTGGACAGATTCAACTAGCAGAGTCTTCTTTCTATCTCAGGGAAGACTTTTTGTGTCTCCTTTACTCTTGCCTCCTCCTTCCCACTTCTAGGAGGAAGAAGAGGGTCCTTGATTGACTGTACTAAATTGCTACATGCAGATCACTGCTACTTTCTCCTTGCAGGCACCATCAATGGGAGATACTGCTGCCCCCAGCTCTACATCAACCACCGCTGCTTCTCAGGTCCATATCTAAACAAAGGCAGAATAGCAGAGCTACCTCAGTCTGTGGGGCCTGGCAAGTGTGTGCTGGTCCTCAAAGAGGTATGGCTCAGCTCTGTTTCCTGGGGGTTTCAGGGGAGAGCGTGGGTCATGGGTGGCCAGGCCCAGAATTTGAAAAGGATGCGCTTAAGATTGTCCTTGGAGCTCTGTAGTGGTTCTCCTAAGTCAAAAGTGGAAGCTGGGAAGAGAGGGTAGGGGTATGAGCTGCAAGTTTTGATGGGAGAGGTGACATTTTTGAAACATGGGGGATTCTGTCAGTTGGGAGCAAGTTTTGTCTAAGCATGTGCGAGGCAATTCATGTTCAGAGCCATCCTCAGAGAGAACCTCTGTGGTTGTTGCCATCAGCATGTTCCTCAGCATCCATGGACGCTGGGCCAGCACTCCGTGTGGATTACACCTTTGTGCATCTGACCATGTCTGATGGGGCCTAAATCATAAGAGCCAAAAGAAAGAGGGCAGAAGGCCAGGCAGGGCTGTGTGTGATGTGTTGAGTGGCAGCTCTGGTGTGCCCAGCTCTCACTGAATGTGGATGGGTTGATCCCAAACAGCAAGGATGGCAGAGCACCACCTTCTGTTCACTTCATCCTGACCTTGTTTTGGGCCAAATCCAGAGCATTGAGAGCTTGCTGTAGACCTCAGAGGAAAGCTAGCTTGTTTAGAAAAATCCATAAATATTTTCCACAAAGATTGCAGTCCATAAACTAGATGACCTTTGGAGATCCCTTCCAGCCCAGACATTCTATGATTCTATGATTCATGTACAGATGAAAGCTGACTGCAGTTGGCAGAGGACAACAAGATGGTCCTGCTGATAAGCAGGGGGCCATTGGTGTGTTGGACACCATTTCAGTTTGACTTGAGTCTTCTGGAAATCCAGGTCTTCCAGCTTTCAGTTTGTACCTATATGAACCCCTCTTGATGTGGATGCAGGGGCATAGCTGAGTTCCCTCTGCCCTTGGTGGGAAAGGATGGGAACTTCTCCCAAATAACCCACCACACCTCTGAACTGTGCTGCAGAGTGACTCCTGTGTCCCCATTCACTTCCCCATCACCTACGTGTGCTGCTGGTTGTCCCACATGGTTGAAAGCTGGGCCATGAAGAGAGCCCAGTACCTCAGCTGCAGGTGGGATGTTCAGGTCTCAAATCAGCAAGTCAAAAGTAGCCCTCAGCAGAAAGCAGGATAAGGAGGTTGCAGAGCAACAGTTGACAGCTGCCAAATTTGAAAGCAAGTCCACAGCAGCTTGCTGATGGGGAGCGTTAGCAATCTGCTGCTGCTTCAGAAACAGGCAATGAGAGAGCAACGTGGGGGAAACATGAGGCATGCACAGTCAATACTTATGCTAATGTTTCTTCCTTTCCTCCTGGAATTTGGATTTTGAAAACATAAGCAGTGCAAAGCTTCTGCCAGGTCCTCCCCAAGTGTCTTAGGGCTTTGCTATATAGACTAACACCAGCTTCTCCAAATTCCTCACAAGTGGGACCACTTTCCAACCTGATTTTCCTACAGAAATCCTATTTTCTCTTGCTCTGCCTCCTTACAGAATTGCTTTCTGAAGGAGCAAATAGCAGTGTCAGTGAGACACAGGCATCTTGGTTCTGGAGCCTTCAACAACTTCCCAAGGAGGAGGACAATGGTGGTAGCCCAGCATTGGTCACTGTTACTTTGCAGATAAATTCAAGTTCCTTCTGGCCACGGAGACCAGGTCCAAATTCTGGAAAGGGTGAAGAGAAGACATTCAGGGTGCTGCTGTAGGAGAGATACACCTGTTTCCTATCAGCTGCTGCTGAGACAAGAGAGAAGTCGGCAGCTCAGAGGACCATGCACAGGGGGGAGGATAGAGGTACACAACACTTGGAGGAGGCAAGGAGTGGCAAAGAAGACATTGAGATGTAGCAGCTGCCAGAGCACCCAGAAGGACTGCAGAGTTGAGTGGTGAGAACAGTGCAGGAGATGCCTTCAAGGCTTCACACAGCTGAAGAGCTCACCAGGGTCCCCAGCCCTCCACAGAGAAGACATCCCTGCATTGAGATGAAAATCTGTAGCAGCTGCCAGAGCACCCAGAAGGACTGCAGAGTTGAGTGGTGAGAACAGTGCAGGAGATGCCTTCAAGGCTTCACACAGCTGAAATGCTCACCAGGGTCCCCAGCCCTTCACAGCCAGGCTGGGTGCTGAGCCTGATACCTTTGTCTTGCTTTACACCCCGTGGTGATGTGGCCCCAGGAATGCAAATGTATTCTAATTCTCTCTCTCACTCGACAGGAAAACTGCAGGTCGTTGTGAATTCTGCATCAGCACAACCAGGGTGTCTTTGGAGACACTCTGGTTAAAAATCTGTGCTGGTCACCAGCCAGTTCACAGTGGGCAGCAGTCTCCGTGCTGGAGATGCTGCTGTGCTTGGCACTGATGGAAACCCCAGACTCAAATCAGCTGAACAACCAGTTCCTGCCCCATTCCCTGTCCTGGATTACCTAAAGCAAGAAGAAGGTCATTGTCCTTTCCCCACTAGCACCAGGTGATGGGAGACCTCACTCCTGGCTGGGTGCTGAGGGAGCAGCTCCCCATCCAGCTCCTCATCCTCTGCTTGCCATCCTCCACGCTCAGCCGTGAAGGTTGTATCCAAAAGTGCAGCACAACTGTAGATCATGATGCTTCTCAGCCCTTTTTCCCATAAAGGTCTTGTCCTTCCTTATCTCCATCACTGGTACAGTGAAGCATCATCCTGGATCCAGTTCCAAACTGGATGCTCCAAACTGGTGCTGCTCACCTGCACACTAGTAGTAGGTACCTATGGATCAGTACTGCTTGCTTCTGGATTTAACAAGGAGATGCTTTAGTAGTCTCCTTCCATTTGAGTAGGGTGGGCTGTTCTCACCTGGGGTATTGGGAGAGAAGCAGCATGGGTAGGTTTGCTTTTGTACAGCACCTCTTTTCCCACAGAACAGGCATTTTTGCTGAGTTCTGCTTTGTTACAGCATCCCCCCGATTTCTGCCCAGTTGCTTTGCCCCCGTGTTGGGTTCAGAGGTTGGGAGCTCTGCAGGGAGGAGACTGCTAAAATGCCTTCTGGAATAACAGCCCTTGAGTAAGATTTCCCAACAAAATCTCGAGAGCAATTGCAACTTATTTGGTAGCATGATCAAAAATGCTGATTTTAGTTCTGTGTGTGCAATCCTTGCATCCATGCAAAGCCTTAGGTGAGTGACAAGTAACTCTTGTGCTATCTAGTGTCAAACTTACTCTTAAAGCCTAGCTGTTCAATATTCCTTGTGCCAGCACAAGTTTCTGCTGGGCCCAGAGGTTTATTTTGGTTTCTTTCACTCTGAGAGGCAAGTGAGGTGCTAGTGCCTGTTGTTTAACATCAGCTGCAAAGCTTATCTCATTCCTGAGATACTTGTTTGGAAAAGAAGTTGAAACTTGGAGCCAAGTCCAGTGGAGACATCAACTATTGCTGTCCAACAACTGCATCTGGGCTGAAAAATAGTGACTGTGTAGTAGCTGAGATATGTAATAAATGCTAAGTGTAAGTTCAATTAAAATAAACACACTGTCAGCTTTAGATTTAGTTCTTGGGTTGGAATATCTAAAAAAATACTTCTGAGCAGTTCTTCCATCTATGCCAACAACTTACCATGGCAACACTGGAAACCAAAATGAGGTGTCTTTTTCAGACTTCAGATGATCTATAACTCACCATATCTTAGAGAAATGTGCTGCAAAGATTAATTAGCCTCATTGCTTACTGCTCTTACTGTTTTTAAGACACTTTGCTCTTTTTCTGTTTAAAGAAAATGGACTTAAAGGGAATGTGACTGTCCAGCTGATGGGAACAGGAGAAATCAGGCAGCATTTGTGAAGGGAAACTTTGGCACTCTGCAACATGGGTTTTGTTGGAGCACAGCATGACTTCTTAGGAGAAATTTTCCTAATTAAATCATGGTGCTCAGTTAATGAAGGATCATGTAGTGAGCCTGAGGTGCATGGTTGAGCCAGGCTGATGGGGTTATCAATAGAGGTCAGATATGGGGCTGGAATGGCAGAAACCTTTGGGATATGGAAAGAGATAAATGCATTGCTGCAAGAGGGTTCACTAACATCCTCCTCAGGACTGATCTGTGGACTTCAGCTCATCTGAAGGAGTAGTTCCTCCAGCTTAGGATCTGGCCATCTGTACTTTTGAAATGTCATAGACTCTCACAGTGCTGAAGTGCCTCAACCTTCACCATGGCAAAAGCTCACTTTTAGATCATTGATCATCTCATGAAAGAAGCCCAAAGAACTTTTCTTTCCCTTCTCTTTCTGTCCCACAGCCACATCATTATTCCAAATGAAATTTGGAACTCATTTTTCCTGTCCTGGCTGGGAGTTAGGGTCTCTCCTCTTAGGTTCATATCGTATCATAGGTTCACATATCCTGTGGGCTCATATCTCAGAGGAGGGAGGTTGAGTTTCTCCTCATGAGGATGCTGATCCTTGGGCTCCTGAACAGGAGAAGAGGTGTGGTGATATTGATCCTGTGGGCTCATATCTCAGAAGGAGGTTGAGTTTCTCCTCATGAGGGTGCTGATCCTTGGGCTCTTGAACAGGAGAAGAGGTGTGGTGATATTTTGAGCTGCATCTCATCAGTGTTACCTCCTGAGAAAGCTTCAGTCTGTCCCAGTGGTCCCATCAGGGTTGGGACCATTAATGAAAATGATAGGACTCCCACCTACCTGACTCTGAAAATCCAAAGCACAGCAGCAGAGGAGCAGAGCAGCCCAGGGTAGTGTTGTCTGTTCCACCCCTCTGCTCCAAGGCACTGCACTCAAACCATTCCCGATAGAGGGGCCTGAAAGTAAACTACCAATATCTCAGACTGGCCACACGTCAACCAAAGGGAATTTAGTGAATCAGATCAAAATTGGACCAGAGGGGTGTGGTAAGTTTCCATCTCTGGAGAAAGTTGGAAACTGGTCGAGGTTTCTTTACTGGTTTTGCTTCAATTGCAGTTGATTTTTCCACAAGAACCAGTGTTCTTTTTTCTCCTCAGTGTTTAATAGTGTGTCATAAGAGGTGATAATGTTGTTAGGAGGTCACCCTGTTAGCATGGTGATGGAATTCTGCTGTAGGGTAAAATGCCAAACAACCCAGTGACTTATTTGAGATACAAGAAGAGTAGAAGCCAGAAGTTCTTAAAAAAAACCATGTTTTCTTCCTTAAAGGGAAATGATTGTTTCTTACAAAATGCTCTTTTTTGAAACTGAGTTTAGACATTTACTGAGCCCTGCTGATGACAAGCCAGCTTTGAGAAAAGTCCTGGTGTTTTGGGTGTCTTTGCAGGGCTGGAGTTGATTAGGTGTCTGGGATAATGGCCAGACATGGCCACGGTGTTATTTGCAGGGTTGAGTTTTCTTTCCTTGCTCTTTGCCTGACTCTTCTGACAATTGATAGAAATGGCATCACCTTGATAAAGGAGTGGAACAGCACTGTCTGGGGGAGATGGTCACCAGGAGATGCTTGCTTTCTCCTCCTGGCATGTAGGAGCACACCTGGGGAGAGCTCTTCCAACAAACTCTCCTGTAGGCATTAAGTAACTCCTTGGATTTGCTGCTCAAGAGGTGAGCACATCTGATGAGCTGTGACTGAGCGTGGAAGCCACCCTGGCACTTTTATTGGAAACCCACCTTTGGCTTCTCTACATCTGGGGAAGTGTCTCTGTATCAGAAGCCAGTGCCCCATCAGTTTGCACAGCAAGAGAAGATGGGGGTGAGCAACTGGATGGGCTCACTCAGAAGCTTTCCTTTCTTCTCTTGGGGATCACTGTGGCTTAGGAACTAGTTCAGTGGGTTGTGTGATGAGGTGGGAACCAGCTGGAGAGCTGGGGGTGAACCTGTGTTGTCATTTCCCCTTGTGTGAGGTATGGAATGTGCTCCTGCTCTTCTTCATGGGCTGCTCAGAGCTGTACAGATGGTCAGAGCTGCCCAAGATGTTGGTGCTAGAATTAGGCTCTGCTTTAGATGTCTCTAATTGCATTTTTTTGAAGTGTGGTTCAGACAGTGTTCCCAAGAGCCCAATGATAAATCACATCTTGCTTCTAGTCAATAAGCTAGCCAAGCAACTCAAACCACTGCCATTTTACATGGAATTAGCAGGGGTAAGTGAAGCCCTTGCCTGACAATGGTCAACTACAAGGTTTTTTTCTTCAGGTTGATGGCTTTTTGTTTTTTAAACAAAGAACCCAAACCCCAAATATAATCACATTGCTCTTTGCATTATGACCTGGTCAGGTTTTCATTTCTGATGGACTGTGTTCATGGGTACTGGGGAAGCTTAATTCTCATCATACTGAAATCATTTGCAAGCCCCCAAAGAATTGAGAACAGTTAGGTAAAGAGCTAAATTATATCAAAACCCAATCCAGGCTCACTGTGGGGTCATTCATGTGTATACAATGCAGAGTGTTCAAACACATGGTCTGACTCTGTTAAGAGATTTGTGTTTCTTGTATTTATCTCCTCAGGCCAAGTGTAAACTATTAAAGCTCAGATTCCCAGAGCCAATAGCAGGAGTCATTTTTATTCTTGGAGACTTTGGATTAAAAGAATTGGCACAAGTGTTTTGTTGTTGGGAGTGGACACACACTGGGTTTCAGGCATACCTCCTGCAAACTCTTTTTGTGTAGACTTCATTAATATTCTGTTAATACAGTCCCCTCAGATGCTTTAAGCATATTGCTGACCTCAAGGGTCTGAATTTCCCCTTTATGTTCAGGGTGTAACAAGACATGACATGGTACCTGGTTGAGCCATCAGAAGTATTTCTGGTTTTTATTAGATTGAGCCAGTATGGATGCAACAAATGGAATCTGCTTGGGATGAGAGGAGCTGTCTCAAAGAAAAATGACAGATCAACAGGAGATTTTGGGGGTTAGCTGGCAGCATTTAATGCAGTCAGTGTATCAGACTGATGTGCCATCTGCAATAAGCTTGGCACATTGATCCAATCTGGGACCTCTTCTCACTGCATCTAGCACTTACCCCGTGCAGTCCTGGAGCTCAATTAGCACCTGCAAGCTGCTCCTGCCTGTGCAGCACTTGGGATCATAGACACTGTGGTCAAGGATGGCTTTTAAACCTGTCAGTGTTGTTGGTTTTGTCTCTTAATAGGTTCTCAGCATGGTGATCAATGCAGCTTACAAGCCAGGGAGTGTTTTACGAGAACTGCAGCTAGTGGAAGACCCTCAGTGGAATTTCCAAGAGGAAACACTTAAAGCAAAGTAAGTCTTCAGTGTTAAGTCTTCAATGTGTGCACTTTTATTTGGGAGTCCTTAAAAATGGAACTGAACTGGGGGAGAGGGGGAAGAAGATGACAAAACATTTTTTATATCGTGAGATTTTTACTTTTCTAATTACTGTTTTGCTGCATTGAATTGACTCATCCTATAGCAACTTAAGAAATGAAATATTCACCTGAATGGTTCATTTCTATTGTTGTTCTCCAAGCAGCCATCCAGCTTTTGATGAAAAATGCCACATTTATTCATTGAAGTCATGAGTTTTATGATAAGCTGTTCCTATAAGTTTAGGTGTTATTGAATTAACTCAGTTTCTGGCTTTTGAAATGTAGGCATATTACTGCTTTTAATATAGAGCCTGTCATTCTAATGCAGAAAAACCTGGTGAGAGCAACTGAAACAAAAGTGCCAACAAAATAACAGGGATACATTTTTTAAGCAGGGGAGTGATTAGGACAAAATACTAACAGATTTGAGATTCAGGTCAAGATCTGAGGCCTTTCTAGAATATAGGCTTCAATTCTCATCTAAACAGCACTTAAGAAAACTGTGTATCTAGAAAATACTCAATTTCCCCTTCCAACTTTAAAATGTACCCTTCTTCAAGACACCTGAGTAATGAGTACATGGGCTGCTAGAGATTGTCACTCATCTGTATCACATCAGCCACTTGCAGTTAACTCACTGTTACCTGCTTCAAGACCACCTGAGTAATGAGTACATTACTAGAGAGGGCTGCTAGAGATTGTCACTCATCTGTATCACATCAGCCACTTGCAGTTAACTCACTGTTACCTGTGGTGCTCATCATGTGTTGAGCACCTCCATCCTCCATGGTTCTTCTCTCCATGCATTCCTGTCTCTCTTTCCTCCTCCCATCTGTTCAGCA